ACAACAGAATTTTGCAAAATTACTCTCGGCATTGTGGCAAAAGCAAATGGAGTGCTGGGTGCTTCCCACAGCTTCATCTGTGCTTAAAAGATGCAGAACAAGTACTTCAGAGGTTGCCCTGGACAGGAAAAAGGCACACTTTGCCCTTAATACAGCGCTGACTCTTTCAAACCTGAGTATTGTGGTCTTCTTTCTGGTTTGCCTCTTTCACTGAGTCTCCCTCCTTCATTCATTCTTAACGTAGGCCCTGTTCATACGAGGCATTTTGGGCCGGGGGGGGGGACGGAACGGGGGCGGAGCAAACAGGCGCGATCCCATGGCAACGTCTGGGAATCGTTGCCTGCCCGTCCCTGTTCAGTCCCAAACGCCGATACCACGCAGCAAAAAACCCCACCTACCTAGGTGGTTGTATCCCTTGGAGCACCTCAAGCCGGCCGTGGGATCGGCCGGTGCGTCATTGCGCCGCTGCATCTCGGCCCCCAGCCGTACTGCGCATGCTCGAGCATGCACAGTTCGGCAGCCTCCCCCTCCCATCGGACTCTTGCTCCCCGGCATCTGATCATGCCGGGGAGCGATGTGCCGCTGCTGAGGGGATCCGTGGGATCCCGCTGCGGCGTCTCAAGTTTGGTGCGGCTCTGATTAGCCGCGTTTCAGCCATCCCGTGTGGCAGGGACCTCAGATGCCCATTTGGGGGGCTGCATTTTGTTCAGTCCTGGTTAGTCCTTTATTATAGACCCTTTATTGGCTTTTCTTTGCACATTGGATCCAGTAACTTTTACAATTTTTTGGGTTTTTGAGTCTTTACTCTTCGTCCCCTTCTTACTATTTTTCTTCTCTCTCTCACTCACTTTTAATTTGGGTTACACCCTGCTTTCATCCCTCATGGGGGCCCAAAGCAGTTTAGACAAATACCTTATTTTAATAAACAGTTAAGCAAAATACAAACAAAGCAACCCTGCCACTTGGCTAAACAGTAGGTTAATTTTTGTCCTTCATGCCTGCCTTTGGCCCCTTTCTCTACTGCTGCCCCCAGCCCCTTCTCTCTAGAACTCTCTGCCTCTCACCTTTGGCATCTCTTGCTCCTTGCATGGAACAACATTTGAAAATGCGCCTCTTCTTCAGCGTCTCTCTGCTTCTCTTCCATCTATGCCTTTCCTTTTCTGTCTCTCCACCTTTTATTATCACCTCGTCGTATCTGTGGGTTTTTTCCCCTTGAATAGCAAATCTGAGTGAAGCATTTGTTCTTTGTTTAAATTCAGTCACTATAGAATGCGGAGTTCTTGAGGCATGTTTGTAGAAGAAGAAGAGAGAAAAGATTGGATTTATACCCTGCCCTTCACTACCCAAAGGAGTCTCAGAATGGCTTACAAACTCCTTTCCCTTCCCCTCCCCTCCCCACAACAGACACCCTGTGAGCAATGCTCCCTCTAAGCTGTGGAGTCTTGTGAGCAAAAATTCTACTATGTGAGCTACGAGCATTATTTATTTATTTATTTATTTGTTTGTTTGTTTGATTTCTTTCCCGTCAAGGCAGACTCAGGGCGGCTTACATAAAAGGCATATATATACAATTAAACCATACATAAACCATCCATAGACAATCAGTATCCATTTTCGAAAGTGCCGGAATAATTAAAGTGCAAAGTGCAGAGCAGAGATTCCTAAATCCAACCGTACCACTGCTTAGGTGATAGTCCTGGTGGTATTCTCAAATCGGCTCAATTTGATTGAATAATTATGTGGTGGGATAGACCGAGGGTGGTAGAATCAGGGCAAACGCTGTGAGCAAGTGATTTGGCAACTGCATAAATTAGTTTGCTCTGGAGCCCTCCTTCCTGAGCTGAGACAAAAATGTGTGAGCCGGAGGCTAAAAAACTGTGAGCTAGCTCACACTAACTCAGCTTAGAGGGAACACTGCCTGTGAGGTAGGCGAGGCTGAGAGAGCACTGACAGAAACTGCTCTTTTTCAAGAACAGCTGTGCCAGAACTATGGCTTGCCCAAGGTCATCTAGCAGGTGCAAGTGGAGGAGTGGGGAATCAAACCCGGTTCTCCCAGATTAGAGTCAGCGCACTTAACCACTACACTTAACTGGCTCTCAATTATATTATTAATCAATTATATTATTAATCAACAAAGCAAGTGAACAGAGCACTTCTGTAGGGCTGGTAGGGAGAAACTTAAAGAACTTCTTAATTTGTGAGCTCCTCTAAGCCTTTCTTTCAGGCTCTTTTGCTCTGTAATGTGTACCTCAATGCTGTTACATAAATTGGCATTGTAGGAGAAATGTGGTTGTAACTTGCCAGGTGCTCAACAACATTTTTGGTCTTGCATCTCCAGGAGACAAACTAGGAAGATTATTGAGCCCCATGGCCCAGTTGCTTAGAAAGTCACAACTTGCATGGGCTTGAGTTAATGTAAACATGCTATGGAAGTGGTAATCCATATTGGTTAATTTCAGATCCGGATGTATTTGGAGGCAGTTGGTGCCAGTGGTGGGAACATTTTTTGTGTTCATTTAGCCATCCTAGTATCAACAAGGATTCCCTTCTTATTTATTGTTCATTTAAAGTGTTTATACCTTGCTTTTCTTTAGCACGTACAACTCAAAGCAGCTCACAAAAGTTGAAATCCTAACAGAGCCAGCTCTTGGAGTCTTGCCTTTGGGGTCCCAATTAAATTCAAACTGTATATTGAGGCTAAAATGACTGCTCTACAGTATTGGGTATTACAAGTTGAAAACACTCAGTATATCTGGGGTTAAATGTTTGTTTAGGTTACTCACAGGAAGTCACATGTTTCTCATGTAACCAATGTTCTTTAGATGTAGGATGCCCAGGAATTTTCTCCCTGATTTAGGAATTTGATTGGGACTAAAGTGTCAAGGTATATTACCATTTTATGGCTTCTCTTCCCGTCTTTGTTTGCTGTTCTGAAGAAGAAGAAGAGTAGCCATAATCTCTCTCTTCTAGTTTTGTCTTTGTAGAGTAAGGATGTAGCCGATTTTGCTCTGTTGTTATTTTCATCCCAGTTACCCTTCCCATGCTAGAATTCAGTAAAAACTTTATATTTTAATCATGCATGGATTCTCAGTCTGAATTATTTTACTCCGGGACTGCTGGACTATCTTATCTCTGCTAAATACCAATTTTTCAATATCTCACTATCGACCAACATACAGCCATTAGGAAAATTTTAAAAACACAAGATGTTACCAAAAGGGATAATAGCAATCAGGTGTCCTGAGTCTAATCATTAGGAGTTGGTCCAGGTGTATTTGAAGGAGTTTAAGTCCAGTCACCAGGAATAAGTCATCACTGGTTCTTAACATTATGTGCAGTGTATGAACACAGCAGTGTGAGAACTGGTTGCATTAGCAATCAGGCAGTCCGTGGTTCAGATCTTATCACTGTCACAAATTCACTAGGTGGACAAGCCACACTGTCTCAGTACGACCCCCTATCTGCAAAGGAAAAAAAAGACAGCTAAGGGGAGACATGATAGACACGGGGTGGAGACAGTAGCTATGGGGAGCTTTTCCCGCATATCCCATAATAGAATTCGTGAGCACCCAGGGAAGCTGTTGAGAAATTGGTTCAGGAGTGGTGATTCTTCAGGGTTTATCTCCTTCCCTTGGGTCCCTAAGTGAGAAATGCCACATCTCTAGTGTATATCTGTGTCAGTGTGTGTGCGCACAAATGAATGCTAAGGTGCCATGCGATACACAGCCCACGATTTCACACATCACGGCAACTTTTACTGCAGGATATTTTGAACTATTGGTAATAAATGGCTGATTCTGCATTGGCTTTTCCCTCCGTTGTTTTACGAGACCCATGTTGGAACAGAAATTCCCCTCTGCATTGCATGCTGCTTTCACTTCCTTTGATCATCGGATTTTATGGTACCTGCTGCACAGATTTATGGCCGTTCAGGGGTGACTTTGCAGTTAGTATGGTGTCGCCCTGAGGTATTTGAATGTGTTTTTGAGCTGCACTTTTTCCTCCCCGTTGAGAAAATGTGGAGCAAATGCTAGATGTAGAATTGGCCAAATGGTAGGACAGCTTTTGCAAATCTATATTTCACTTTAAAACCCTCTGGGCTTTAAAATCATTTCAGGACAAGCTATTGCTTAGTAAAGGAGCACAGCGGAGCTGTTGATGGTGGAGAGGCTCAGGCAGTGACCAGGAGTGTGAGAACTGTGATGGAACAAGCATGTCCCTGTCAGAGCTGCGCCCAGTAGTCAGGGTGTGTTGGTGCACGGCCCCCCTCTGAACACTGTTTCACCCACTTAAGACTTATTGTTTTATAAAACAAACTTTTAATTTGTGAGATGGGTATTTCCATTTAAGGAATGGGATGTTTTTGTGTTGTTGTTTTTTTGTAAAGGAAAATGTCTAGTATTTAAAAAACCACCAAACTTTTTAGGTAGCTATAACTGGGAGAATTATAAACAGTGCTGGGGTTTATTGTAAAGCAGGGCTAGCCAACTTCCCCAGTCTGGGGGCTGGATCTTTCCTGCGGTATGATGTCATCGCTCCCTATCCCACCCACAGCTGATGAAGATTGTCTGGGCTGGGTGGGTCTGTCTGCACCTGGAATCGTTGTGGCCCCTCCTCATGCAGAAAACTAGCTCTGGTCCCTATTTCCACCTGTGAAATGTTGTCGGAGGGGATGCACCCTTCCCTTGCTCGCGTCCTTGTCCGCAGGCACATGTAATTCTCCAAAGCACAGAGTTACCGACTGGTTCGTTCTTCATACCGGCCTCCTAGAAAGCAGTTGATCCCTCTCATCTTGCCCCCCCCCCTCCAGATGCTTCGGAGCAGGAGCACTCTAGGAATGCCACAAGGACGGCTCTCGGATTACAACAGAAAGTGCGTGATATCACTCCTTTTAGCCTCCGCTGGTGTTGGCTGAGGGTGGAGGGGGTGGACTCTGGGAGGGGTTTGCTCCAGTGAAATTTGCCAGGAAAAGCAGTCCCCAGACTGCTGGGAGTCTCAGTCTAGGAGAGGCACTTAAAGCAAGAGGAGCAACTCCCCCAACCGTCCTGCCTGTAACTTGCTAGGTAAGGGGCAACTTTCAGAGAATTTAACAAATATAGTGGTGAGCTTACAGAAATAGCAGCAGGCCTCTGTCTGTCTCTCTCTCTCTCTCTCTCTCTCTGTGTATAGGATGTTCTATGGATCTGTTTCTTGCATTTTGTCAGAATGAGCTGGAGCTCCAGTTAAAATGTTCTCAGCCAATAGACATCACCTTTGTCTTTCTCCTGTTCTGTCCACCGCTCTCTGGGTAACCTGAACAGCTGAGTGGCTGGAGATCGGATGGTTGCATTGTCTCTTCTTTTTTATATTTTCTCTATGAACATAATTAACTCTGCCATTCATGGGGTATGAAACAGCAGGGGGGATTGGGTCCCTTCATCAAAACTCTACTAAATCAGATAGAATAATCCAGACGAGTTGACTACTGTCTCCAACAGCTGAGGACTTGGCAGAGTTTATTAGACTTTGGTTTACTTAAGTTTGGGTCACTGAACAGTTCGCGTGAAGCTTACTGAGTTAGCCCAAAGGTCTTTCTGGGTTTTAGGCAGAGGTCTTTCACATCAACTTTTAACCAGAGGCTGACAGGGGACTGAATGTGAGGCCTTCTCAGTGGAAGCCATGGGCCTCCCCTAATACAGTGGGTCTCAGGGTGTTGCTGGAAGGGCCCTGATGCAGACCCCTTGCTGAAGTGGAGCAGGGCTGAGCCCATTCAGTGCTGCATGGGAGACCTCCTGGGAACCTCCAGTGTCTGCTGCCTTGAACTCATAATGCTCATATGAGAATAATAGTGCTCCTTTCTTGTTTTTGGACAAGAATGGCAGAAAAGTTTGACCGGAATGGGGAAATCCTGAGTTCTGATCCCTGATGAGTATAGAAAACCTGAAGTTGATTCTGGTCCGTTGTGATGGACCAAAGAAAACAGCTCCATTTAAACAACCCGAGGACCCTGAGAGAACTTTCAGTAAAATTAAGGAGGGGAAGCCACCAAGTCTGCATTAGTGTAAAGTTTTAAGAAGTCAATGCAAGAGGAATTCAAGAGGGTAGCTGTGCTAATCAGAGGCAACAAAAGGAATCTGGCAGCACCTTCCAGACTTATTCCAGGTTTATTGTTTCTGTGGCTGCTTTCCACTGGATATGGGCTTCAGCAAATGTAGTCTCTTGTCCACGAAAGCTGATGCCACAATAAATCCATTGCCACGACTAATTTTTCTTTTTGCCTTGTGGGGTGTTCCTTGTGCAAAGAGGAAAGATAAGCCTGGTTGTCTCACACTTTTGCTCCCCGAGTTAATAAGGCAGGGTCTAATTTGCTGGCAAGTTGGGACAGTAGATATTCCTTAACATTCTTAACTTGTGCCCCAGAAAGCTGCAGTTTGGACTCTATCTGGATTGCTTTATTCCAGCTGCTCTAATAGCTCTTAATGCATGTTCCAGTTACTTTGGTTTAGTGAAATCAGATGTCCTCTCTTGGTGCATCTGATGCCTAAAATCAAGTGGGAGGTGCAGAGAACTACCTCGCAGGCTTGTTGTGACTTGAGGATGAAAGGCCTTTCGGTATTTTTTAAAGCCATATACATGCCAGCTATGAGCAAGTAATTAACAGTGCATTAGTTCCACTGGGACTACAATGCAGTTTCATAGGATTGCACAGCACTGTATATTGTGTTGGATCACTGGGGGATGCTTTGATATGGAATAGTATGTCAGATTAATTGCTGCTACAGGAAGGGCTCTTCTGTGATGGCCCCTTAAATTATGGAATCAGTTCCCTTTCGAAGTTTGTCAGATTGGGGAGCTTGACCCTTTCAAAGAAGCTTTAAAGTTGTTTACATGGATTTCGGAGCTGCGGTGGCTCAAGTGGTTAAGACGCTGAACTGCAGGCTGTGGAATGTCAGTAGTTCAGCAGTTCAAGACCTGGGTGCCGCAAGACGGGGTGAGCTCCTGTCTCTAGTTCCAGCTCCTGCCAACCTAGCAGTTCGAAAGCAAGAAATTGCAAGTTGATAAATAGGTACCACTTCGGTGGGAAGGTAACAGCGTTCTGTGCGCCTTGGTGTTTAGTCATGCCGGCCACATGACCACGTAAACGTCTTCGGACAGCGCTGGCTCTTCGGCTTTGAAACGGAGATGAGCACCGCAACCCTAGAGTCGGATTCGTCTGGCTTTCGAGCAAGGGAACCTTTACCTTTACCTTACATGGATTTCACACACTATAGAGTAGACAGTGTTTCCCAAAATATATGGGGGTTCCCCCAACAGGCTCAACAATATGCCCTTGGGGCTGTTTCAGGCTGGGAAAATGGCATGGGAAGGAAGGTAGAAGTCCTTTCGCTGTGTGTGCCGTAGTCCTGATCCTAATTGGGTATCAAATGTGCTGGAATTAAGGAGAACCCACAACAGCCTCCAGGTGGGGCTTGGAGATCTCCCGGAGTTACAGTTGATCCCCAGGTTACAGAGATCAGTTTCCCTGGAGAAAATGGCTGGTTTGGAGGGTGGACTCTATGGCATCATGCCCTGCAGAGGAAGTCATGGTGACCTATAGTGACTTCTACTGGGGCATGGAGGACATTCAGGGAAGTGGCTTGATAGCGCACCTCTGACCTCCCAGCCCTGGTATTCTCTGGAGGTCTCCCATCCAAATATTTGCCAGGGTTGGCCCTTCTTAGCTTCCAAGATCTGATGAGATCGGGCTTGCCTGGGCTAGCCAGGTCAGGGCAAAACTCCAGGAATTTCTGAACACTGAGTTGGCGACCCTACCTGCAACTCACACGTAACTGTATTACATCTGACACAGAGTGGGGACCCAGACTCAATAAGCATATTCAGTATTTTGCAAAGAGGGCCCTGTGGGTGGGTGTTGTTTTATTGGCTGCGACTGAATTTTATTCATCTATTTTCAGAACCTGATTTTATTGATTGTATTGTATCATATGTGTTTTATGTTTCCCACCCTGAGAATGACTGCTAAGAAACACAGCAAATAAGTGCCAGAGGGGCATATTTCTAAAGTTCTTGGATATATTCTCACTTGAGCTGCCTCGCAGTGTTTCGTGACAACTTATGATTTTAGGGGGGGAACAGAGCAATTTTAATGTTTGTTTTCTTTTCTTTTCGAGTGGAGAGGGCAAGCAAATGATGGAACAGCCCGAGTTCAAATCCCATTTCTGCCACAGTCTCATTAGTTAGACAAGAGACTCTTCCCAGCTCTAGTCCATCATCTGTAGGGGGGGGGTTAATTACACTGGCCTACCTTGCATGACTGTTGTAAGGATTGCAATAAGATAATCTGCAAATGCTCCATATAAATTAATAATGTTCTGTGAATTCTCTGGGACCAACTTTTAATTTCTGCAGAATTCTATCTTATTTTCTTTATTTACTTCATTTATACCTCACCTTTCCCCCAATGGGGACCCAAAACAGCTACTATGGTTCTCCTCTCCTCTCCTTTATCCTCACAACAACCCTGTGAGGTAGGTTTGGCTGGTAGAGAATGATTAGCCCAAGGTCACTCAGTGACCTCCCATGGCAGAGTGGGGATTCAAACCTGGGTCTCCTAGATCCTAGTCCAGTACTCTGACTCCTGCACCACACTGGCTCTTGATAGAAGGTGGCAGAGTTCAATTATACAGATGTCTGGTAGTATCATTTCTCCCCCCCCCCCCATGGCGCTCTACAGTTATACTCAGTTTTCAGGGGCCGTCGTGTTTTTTTATTTCAAATATCCCAGTATGCAGAGTCCTTTTGACACTGAATATAGATGTCCAGCTCCAACCTTGCTAAATCCTGATTCTAATTAAACCCTGCCTATTTTTCAGCATTTACTGCATGTGCCGCTTCAAAATAGGGCAGGTAACAACCTCTGAGGCCATTTTGGCTGGGCAGTATGGTCCGGGGGGGGGGGAGGCAGAAGCCCCTCCTTTCCCCCATACCATGGTCCTAAGACTAATCGTGACCCTCTGGTACTTTAAAAAGCCGTTCCCCAGAGCTGCGGTGTGGTTGCAGGGAAAACAAGTTGGGCCCGGGTCCTGGGACCCAAATAATTAAAAACCCTAACATCTCATCTCCCCTAGCCAACCCCTGTGTAGTCTGTTCTGCAGATCTATACATCAGAGGTTTTCAAAATGTGTTGCAGAAAACTCTGAGGTTCTTTGGAAGCTTAGAAGGGGTTCCTCCATGAGAGGATCAATTATGATGAAGAATTTTACCAGCCTGTTAACTGATCTTCCTTCTGCAGGGTGCAGCTTGAGGGCAATGTTGGGTTCAATCTAAGTACCCTCTTGGTTAGCTGATGTAGCCCAGCAGAACTGGCTTGTTTCCTTTTGAACCTAGTGTGAAGCTACTATAGTGACCTGAAATGCTCGGGGCTCAGGAGGCATCAAAGGATTGAAAGCTACTGCTCTAGATACTCATCTTTTGCTGTCCAGAGCCAAACACAAAAGGCCTGAGATGATGAATATCTTCATTCAGGGTGTATAGTTTTTCCAAAGTGGCTCCAGATGTGCTTCTACCTATGAGCTCAAGTAGGCTGTAAAGTAAACATTGCGTGACTGGTTCTGGAATGAATGCAGCTCATGTGCAGCAGTTTGGTTCCAAGCTCCAAGAGATCCCTGACTCTTTTTTAGGATCAACTGACAGGGGCAGCAAGGCCACTCAGTAGTGCAGCAGATTCCTTTTTAGCGCAAACAGATTCAGAGACTCTGGTTCCTCCTCTTCCTATCACATGACTGATATCTCTTCTGATGTCATATTCGTGCAGCTCATTAGGTCCCTGGGGAGAGAAAAGGGGGACCTGGGTCTGGAAAGGTTGAAGATACTGATGTAGGAGGTCCAGGTTCAAATGAGTACTATGTTTGTAGCAAGAAAGAGATGCAGAACCACATACAAAGCTGGGTGAAAACTAGCTGTAGCAACACCAAATGAATAATGTGCAACAGGTCCAAAGGAGTAGCTATCTTAAACTATTACAGCAAAACACACACATGCAAAAGAGTTTTTCACAGAATATAAAGAATAGCACATTCAGTGT